TTCTGAAATTTAGTTTCCTCATCTACAGAATAAGGAAGTTAGAAGTTAGAAAATGGCTTCTAATGTCCCTTACAGTTCTAAACAAGCAATCCTAAAAGACTCATTACCTTAACAAAGACATTTTAAAATGTGACATTGACACAAAAGTGAAATAGAAGGTGGTGGACTTTCCCTCAGCAGAGGTACTCAAGCAGAGGCTGAAGGCTACATTAGGCAGCTAGGTGGTATATAGTAGGTAGAGAGCTAGATTTTGAGACAGGATGATCTGAGTTCAAATTCTACCTCAGATCTTTACCAGCTTTCTGAATCTGGGCAAATCACTTAACCTCTCTCAGCCTCAGTTTCCCCATCTTTAACATATATACCTTACTAGGTTGTTGTAAGGATCAAATGAGATAACCTATGTAAAAATGCTTTGCAAACCTTAAAACATTATTGTGAGAACAGTTAGATGACATAGTGATAGATAGAGCACTGACCCTGGAGTCAGACCTGAGTTCAAATCTAGCCTTAGATACTAGCTGCATAACCCTGGGGCAAGTCACGTAATTCTGATTGCCTCCAAAAAACAAAAACAAAACATTATTATGACTTCCCAGCCCTATATGTATGTGTGTATGTACATGTGTATACTCATACATATGTATATATGTATACACTAGTTATTATTGTTGTTGTTATATATTATTGTATATTGTGTCATGGAGAAAATTCCTTTCTGATATAGTTTAGACTAGATGCAATGGAATAGAAAAGCATTTATTGAGTACTTGCAATGTGCCAAACACCATGCTAAGCTCAGTGATTCAAATAGAAAATTGAGGGAAACAACACAGCTAGAAGTGTTCATCTTCAGGGCAGATTGAAAGGCCAGGTGGTCCTTAAGATAGAGCGGAGGTCAGATGCCAATGCCTAAGGGTCCAAAGGGCAAAGCAGATGGCATGACCCATCCAAAAAGTATAAAAATATTGCATTTTATTCTTTGTTAGCAGAAGAAATTTTACCTTAAAAATGAAAAGCCTAACTATGCACATGATGTTACCAGATCATCTTGAAAGTAATCCTCTTAGTCAGAACTCCTTCTTAACTCTTGGAATGGTCGGAATTTAATATTACCTTAACTACTTAAAACTTGTTTGGGGTTTCTGTGGTTATTTCAGCTTTTTTCAATGAAGCACCCTATCATTATCTTCAACATACCATAATAATTTCTGAATAGAAATGATATTGGAGATGTCGGTAGAGGGATTATAGCTTGAGGAACAATGGCAACACAAATGGTCCCCAGAAAATGATGGGTGGTGGCTTTGGGAGCCAGGATGGATCATGGGCATGGTTGTGTGATACCTCAGGCAGGAATCAGAATCTAACTGGGAGGGGGCATTCAACTGAGTGTCTTTCAACTATAGCCTAATTCCTTCTGGTTGCCCAGGGCCTCCTTCATTCCATACCCATCCTAGTCTACAACTTTTTCTTTTCCTTCATCAGAAGTCACCTGTTATAGCTCTCATTTTATCAGAGACCTGAAAATTTGTAAGATAATAGCTAATTGTCTGACCAACTAAACTGTTTTAAAATGTGAATGACTAGTAAAAATGAATGTTCTACTTCCAGTGGTATTTCTATCACAGGGAACTCCTGGAAGTATGCCCAGAGGAATTCCTTATGGTGAGAATTTCATGTCAGATGGTATAGACTGGATAGGAAAGACTCCTGCAAGGAGGAAGGAGAACCATGTCACAGGGAGAGGAGCCTAAACCACTTACACCCAAGGTGAGTCCTGCTAGTGGTTCACACTTCTCATGAGAAAAATTCAACAGGAATACAGCATTTTACTATGACAAAGTACTTATATAAATCGTTTCTTCGTATATTAGTATTGCTTACCTTATATATTGTTAAACTGAGGTATCATATAGTATTATATACTGAGGTTCAGAAAGTTTAAGTGATTTGTCCAAGCTCCCCCAGCTAAAAAGAGTCACTGCTGCAGCTAGAATTGAGGTCTCTTGATTCTCCTCATAATGGTACCTGCTGCTTCTAAAGCTAACCTATCCCTTTCTCTATTCATTTCTGCCAAATACTGGTCTAGTTAATTCATAATGTCATGCAATATACATGATAAAATATATTTCTTCTCTGAGGTTTTCCTCATCCAGAATTTGAGAAATATGGAACCTGGTTTTGTTTTTTTTAATGTGTAAAATATTTAAGGCTAAAACATCTTCTAAAATTGAACTCTAAACATGACCAAAAGCACGAATGAGAAGCAATCACACATTTTCAGTCATAGCTAATATGTTGATTTTGTTTTGCCTCACTATGTGTTACAAGAGAGGGTTAGAGATAGTGATGCAAAAAGAGAAAAGAAAGAAAAAGTGTCGATAAAGCTGTAACAATAATACAAAGAAAGCAAATGAAAGTTCAGGAGGAGACATAGGTAAATAGTGCAGTTTTGTTACTATTATGTTAAATTTAATATTAAAAAAGACAAACTAAATGAAACAAGTTTGTCATTTAATATACAACCATTTTATTTTTTGTAGAATGAACTGTTTGTGAATGAGTGCATAAAAAGAAAAAAAAGTTTTTAAAGAAGCTACTACTATCTCAGTCAGATTATTGAATAACATATAGAAAAATGCATATGTACTTCCCAGGAAAAAGAAAAGAATATCCAATTCAACACGGTGATAATTTCAACAAAGATAAAAATGACAAAATGCAAATATTGCATTAGGACACTAACCAACATAGTCAGATGAGGCTCAGATGTGAACCTAGATCCTCTAAATGCTGCTATAACTTTCTATTAATTCACTGGCTCCCAAACCATTGTCCAAGGACAGCTGGGTGGTCTGAGTGTCCTCTGGTTCTCTCAGCAAGCTGTTCTCTTGTATTTAAATTCTTTTGTTCTTGGAAGGAATTAAAAGTAAATTATTTCCCTGCTGAACATTCTCTGTGCCTCAATTCACACTATTCCCTATATCCTCTGTCTCCAATTTTCCCTGCTAAATTCTTGCCTATCTTTTAAAGCTCAATTTGAAAACCCCCTCCCTCCAGGAAAGCTTAACTGATTCCCTGGATTTATAACAACGTTTCCACTCAGACTTCACATAGTATTTTGTTTTGCACCTCTCCTATGCACTTATATATTATTTATTGTGTAT